CATGTAACTGTCTTGGATGCTATACTCAAGAAGGCCATCTGCTACAGTGTTTTTCAATGGACTGAAGCTTACCAATTAGGCTAGGCTGGGTGGACAGCAAGCCTTATAGATCCACCTGCCAATGCTAGGATTATAAGCACAGGTCGCCATACCTAGCATTTTTATGTAGGTTCTGAAGGTCAAATGCAGGCCTTCACATTTGGAAGACAAGCAGTTTGCTGAGTGAGATATCCTCCAAGCCCTGAAAATTCATACACCTTGTATGCTTCACCTCAGAAGTTTAGGAAACAAAACTAGGCCATTTTATCACAAGTAGGTTTTAAACTTAAAATTCATATCACTTTGAGCTACCCTAGTAAAAGGAGTCTAATTTTTCTTGAGAGTCACCTCATTGACCCCAAGGTGCCCCATTGTCTCTGCCTCTCCTGGTACTGGAAATAAAATCTATGGCTTTGTTCATGCTAAGCAAGTGCTTCACCACTGAGCCATGCAAGTGTTTTTATTACAATTATTTTGTGTGGGGTGCAATTTTTGTGCCATAGCATTGATGTAGATGTCAGAGGACAAATCGTGGGGGTACATTTTCTCCTTCTACTATGTGTGTTCCAGGATAGAACTCAAGTAATCGGGCTTGTTGGCAAGTGCCTTTACCCTCAAAACTATTTCAGAAACTCAGCCTTTTTTTTTAATTCTGAGATAGGGTCTCACTAAGTTTCTCAGCATGTCCATGAATTTCTTCTATAGTTCAGAAGTTAGAGTTTAAATTTGGGATCCAGGGTTGGGTTGCTCATTTATTTCAAAGGGGTCCTTCCCAGTCACTGATGGTAACACAGCTTATGAGTCAGCTGTAATCAGTCAAAGTCTCTCTTGCCCTGTTGTCACACGGAGCCACTGCCAAGGCCTAGGTGGCTGGACTTGGCTCTACAGGATAGAACTAATGCCTGTTCCCTCCAGGGCTTTGTACCCAGGGCTAGGATAAGTCCTGCCATCAGTCACTAAGTGTAAAAGGCCCAGTTATTCTCGCCTGCCAACCACCTCCAAGTGCGGACAGAGCCCATGCTCTTAACCTCTCGAAGCACAGCCAAGGGCAGACTGCAGACACAGGAAAACATCACAGTCAGGAGAAGCGGCTGCCAACATCCAGTAATGTTTGCCAGTTCTAAGTTGAAAAGAAGCCTTGCTACTCCCAACTGTCTAATTGCCTTAATTAAGTTTCTTAGGTGCAAGTATTAGATTAGGTATAAAATCCTTATTCACGAGGTACCTACATTTGTAAAATGTATTCAATATACAAATTGAATCAAAAATGTAAAACTCTATTATGCATGTAACATGATAGATAATATTTTCCAGAGATTATATTGTCTCTTGGGATGAGAGTGTGAAACTCACTGCTATGGTTATAACTAGGGTCAGACGTAAGGTCAAGCACAGTGTTTGGTTGCAAAGATGGTTCAGAATAGACATTGAAATATATTCATTGTTTTAAAGGATATAATTTAAATAATTTTTATATAGAATTTTCAAGCACAGGAGCATTTGTTTGCCAAGTTCATACAGGGCCCTGGAGTCTCTGGTCCCACCCCAAATATAGAGAATTAGAACCTGCATTTTAGAAATAATTTTTGCAATTTAAAATGTGGTGTGTGTGTGTGTGTGTGTGTGTGTGTGTGTGTGTGTGTGTGTGTGCGTGCCCGCACGCATGTGCCGTGCCAGGCCTGTGGGTGTCAAATGACAAGGTCCAGGAGTCTGTTCCTTCCTTTCACCATGAGGGTTCCTGGGACTGGTCTCAGGTCATTGTGCTTGGTAGCAGGTGTCTTTACCTGTTTGCCAGCCTAGAACCAACATTTTAAACAAGATGTCCAGATTAAAATTTGAAAAGCACAAACTTATTTCCCAGTTTATTCTTCATTGGGCAAATATGAACATGGGGCATGGTCTAAAGGTTTCTCTCTCTCTCTCTCTCTCTCTCTCTCTCTCTCTCTCTCTCTCTCTCTTTTTTTTTTTTTTTGGACAGGTTCTTGTATAGCCCAGGCTAGCCTCAAGTCCATTATGTAGCCGAGAATCACCTTGAATTTCTGGTCCTCCCACTTCCATCTCTTGAGTGCTGGGATTTCACCCATGAATTGTCATGTGGGGTTTTTTGCTGTGCTGAGGATCAAACCCAGGGTTTCATGAATGTAAGTCAAGCATTCTGCTGACTGGCTACAAAGCCTGTAAAACAACTCTGTCCTCCTCCTCTTCTTTTCCATCTCTTTGACAATCGCTTGCTCCTTCTTGTTCAGGGATGCAGGTAGGTTTAGGATGAACTTAGAATTCTCTAGGAATGATAATAAGTGTTGGTAACTTCAGAGGACCATGTATGTGACTTCCAATGCACATATGTAGGTGAGCTCCATATGTTTATGGGCCATATCCAGACTAGGCAAACACATAGAGACAGAGAGTAGATTACAGGTTTGGGGAGGAGAAACTGGAGACTGAGCAGCAGGCTGGGATTTCTTTTGTGATAATTAGTAGTGATAATTCTGAGGTGGAGTCGGTGGTGATGGCATTACAGCTGGGAATGGCTAACATGCCTGGCTTTGTGTGTGTGCTCTGGGGAATCTGAACACAGGCCCTTATGCTTGCATAGCAAGCATTTTAGTGACTGAATTATCTTCCCAGGTCCTATTTCATGGTATTTTCTTGAAACCCTACCCACCAGTGATTCAAACGTTTTGTTCTTTCTGTCAACTTTTATTTTTCCTGCCAGGCAGTGTCCTCAGGCATTCCGAGGGCTACAGAGATGACTAAGAGGATTTGCCTTGGGTAGCAGTGGTGATCTGATCATGGACTCTCAGTAACACCCATGACAGGGCTAAGTATTGTGAAGTAAAATGAATGTTGTGGAAAAACACCAAAGGAATGTTTAAATCTAGAGCTATCTGTGTCACAGAAGGAAGAAATTATTTCTTACTGTTTAACTCTGGTGAATTCTCTTTGATATTTTGTTGAGGGACGAATGGATGGATGTTGACAGAGTGACATAAGAAGCATTTTAGCAATACCATGAACAAAGGATTTCAAAATGGACAGCTGGAGGGAAGGATACTTAGGGGGGATGAACGAGCACAGGCTGGGACTGATGTGTCTCTGTCCCACCTGCACTCTGAGGCAGCCCAGGCTGGCCTGGCACTTGCTGTATAGTATAGCTGAGGGTGTTCTTGAACTCCGATCCTCTTGCCTCAGCCTCCCAAGTGTCCAAAGGCTCACCACCAACTGGACAAGAAAAAGTAAGAGCAGAGCTCGAATGAGAACTTGATAGAAATTACTGTTTTCCCGCACTTTCGCACACACTTCCCTGATTGGTAAAATAATTTTGTCGCCATGGAGAAAAGATCAGCTTTGGGACTGTTGGGGGTGCTGGGGATGGAACCTAGGACCTTGTGCATATACTAGGCAAGTGCTCTTTCCTCAAACCCCTGAAGAAACACCATCATCATCATCATCATCATTATTTTATTTTGGTTTTTCGAGACAGGGCTTCACTGTGTAGTCTTGACTATCCTGAAACTCATCCTGTAGACCAGGCTGGCCTTGAACTCACAGAGATATGCTTGCCTCTGCCTTCCCAGTGCTGGGATTAAAGGCACCCCCCAGAGAAATATTTTTTATATCGTCTCTGGTGGGGTACAAAGATTAAAAACAAGAACTAACAAGAAGCCTGGCCACAGAAAAGGGCATTGACACCCCCCCCCAAAAGAGGCAAGGACCTTCGAGATGGGTCATAGGGTAAAGGAAGGAATTTACTGCCAAGTCTTGGGTTCAACCCCAGGGACTCACATGGATTACCAACTCTCAAACCTTGTTCACACACACACACACACACACACACACACACACACACCCATGTTTTGGGTATATATAAAATAAAGAAATGTAAAAAACGAAAAAAAAGAGGCAGAGGAAATGCGAGGGTATCCTGAAATCCTTTCCTCATTTCAGTTGAGGTCACCCAGGTTATAGGAATGTCCTATCACCAACAAGTTTCTACCGCCCAGAAAGCTAATTAGAGTACACCCTCCTCAAGGCATGATAATACTAACTCTCATTTTTAAAATGAATGACCGAACTTGATTTTAAAACGCAGCGTTCCTGACGCACAGTAAGCCCATTCTTTGTTTTACCCATGAACGCCTTTTGCTTAAGTTTTGTTTTCGAGAGTCTCTATTTAGGAGGAGAAATGACTGAAAACTGCTCTTCAAAGCCTGTTCCCTCTATTAGTACTTAGTTGGAACATCCTGAATCCAAGAGGTCGAGTTTCCCCACTTTGCGCTATCCCCATCTTTTGTGTGCCTTAGAGTCACTAGGTAGGCACTGGGAGGAAAACGGAGGAGGGGCAGGGCTGACAGTCAAGGAACCAATCCCGGCCTGGCTACGGGGTGTGGACGCGGAGCCACGCCCTCTCCACCCAGTCGCTAAACCCCGCCTCTCTCGCACCTGCGAGTGCCTGAGCTCCTAGGCAGGCTCGGGCACTCCGAAGCCAAGCACGGTGGGTGGGGCGAAGGAGGCGGGGCAGAGGCGGGGCTTCACCTCTCGCGAGACCGCCTCCTGTTGCTGAGGGCGCCGTTCCCGGACTCTGACTGGCCGGCGGCTGCGCAGCCGCCATGTTCGGTTGCTATGCTGCGGCCTAGGAGACGGGGTGTGCTTGAGGGAGGTGGAGGAGGAGGCGGAGGAGGCGGTGGAGGCGAGGGAGGAGGAAGGAGAGGAGAAGAGGGAGGAGGGTGACCGAGCTTCTCCTTTGCACTCTCACACAGAGCCGCCTCCCTGGAGTCACCCGCCGCCTCACGCCGCGCGCTTTCCTGCTCGGCGGACGCGACATTGTTCTTTAGGACTCCTGGGACCTGTCAGGAACCGGGGCTCCGGGACTCGAAAGAGACGTGACTTCGGCCCCCGGGCCGCGTGCTGTGGGATCCGCGGCACTTTCGGGGCGCGTGTGAAGGGATTAGCTCATCTCGCCGCGAGGTGCGAGCGCGCGCCTCCCCGCGCACGCCGGCCCCGCCGCAGCCCCGCAGGATGACGGGGTGCTGGCGGCCCGCGGCCGTAGCGCGGCCGCTGTGGCGGCGGCAGTTCGCGGGGCGCTGAGGGGCGAGCACCCCGACGCGGACCAGGCGCCGCTTCCTCCCCGGCTGTGCGCCCGGGGCCTCCTTGGCTTTTTGTATTTGGATTTTTTCTTTTTTCTTTTCTCCAGCCGAGAGGACGCGGCTGTGATAACGAAGGTAAGAGGGGCGCTTGGGGAGGTTCTTGGCTTGGCCTTCTTGGGTCTCCTTTGCAGATTGTGGGCGCGCACCTGAAGCTTGCGGAGCCAGGTAGCCAGAGCTACCCGATCAAACTTCCCTTTTCTTATTGGGTCCCGGTCCTCGTATCTTCCTGGGGGTTATAGTTGAAACCTCTGCTAGGGATGAGTGCAGGGGTTTAAGGGATGGAATAGATGCGAGAAGGACTGTTGCAGTGTTCCTAAACTCAAGGTAAGGGTGAATTAAAATCTTCTGTATTCCGTTTGTGGGATTCTTTTTTTATAATTATTATTGTTACGTTAATTGACTCATATAAGCAATTTTTTTCGCATGTTGCATGAGCACACGACCCTTCCCATTAAACTTGAATGTCTTTTGTGACTCTGCCAGTATCTACTGAATTTTAGGAATCTGTAGTTGGGTCCCAAAAAAGTTGAGATGTAGATCTGAATCCTTCACTTAGGTTTTCATGGTGTTTTGGAATCTTCACTGCCTTCCTAATGTTCAGATTGTGAGTCTGTAGTAAAGGACTGATGAGTGTTTGTGGCTTTTTGTAAATGTAAGCGCAGTGATCTGTGGCTTTTTGCTTTTAAAATAATTGTTTCTGTGGCGGTGTTTGTTAATAGTTACAGGAAAAATGGGGCGTATGGGTCATTTTTTTATGAACAGGAACTGTTCTTACAAAACCTTATTCACCTGAATTGTCCCAAGACAGACTTCTGAAAACCAGTTCAATTCAGAGATTTTTAAAAAATAAAGTTGAGATGTAGTTAAATGCATGACTGGGTGCATTTGCGGGGTTTCTTCAATAATGAACAGTTTACAGTGTCACTGATAATGCATATGGATGTTGCCTTGAAACTTAGGCTAGAGACTTTAAGCCTGGCCTTGCATCACAGAGTGACATCAGTGTGTACAAGGGCGATGTGTGGGGTTTTAAAACACTGCTTGTTCCAGGAGGACCTGTCGTATCTACTAGCTACTTTTGGAATGAGCAATTCAAGAAACACTGAGTGTGTGATCAGATCTTGGTTCCAAATGAAATACCATAGTTCATTGGTCACATTTCAAACATGGCTGTGGAGGAAAAACAAAAACAAAAAGCCCGTGTGTCTGGCTTGTGAAAGACAGTTGGCTAGAAAGAGGACTGGAGCAGCAAATGCCACAGCTTTCTGGAAAGCCTGGGTTTGTGGACATTAGTGTGTCAGAGGGGAAACATGTTTTCCAAAAGGGGAGGGGATTACTTTACACAGTTATTCAGTGTGCTTAATAGACTATAGCTAGGTATATTATTTAAATCTCTAATTTGAGGATCTCAAATTCAATGTTCTTTTAAAGAGAAGAGTCAGTTTGAAAGGAAAGCTTATGAGTTAATATAAAACCATTGTTTCACTCATAATTTGAGATTAATCATCTTGTGGATACACCTTTTTTTTCTTCTTCTTGCTGTTGTCAGAATACATTTCTGCTCCAATTACCACAAGAGCTATTTTTGTGTCTTTTCATATTTTCTGTGGTGTTCTTTGTTCATATTTTGTATTGACACATGCGCATGGATGACCCCATAATATTGTGATCTTGCCTGGTTTATAAGAGCAACATAGTTTCGTGTGTGTGTGTGTGTGTGTGTGTGTGTGTACATGTGTACACCACAGTATTTACCTAATCTGCCTTAAATGTTTGCTAAAAAGACCTTTTTTAAACACAAGGCAGCATCACTGTTTTATGGTTTTTCTCAATATTGAGTTGGTTAAAGTTTGTTAAGGTAGAATGTCACAGATTCCTCAAAAGTAGTGACAGATGTGACTTACTTCAGGTTTCTAGTATCTTAGCTTCTAGGTGGTGGGTAAATTATGTCAAGTCTTGTTCTCTCCTCCCCCACTATGTCCTAATTGAGTATCTTTAAAATGTTCCTAGTAACATTGTTGCTTTAAATTTATGACACTAATTTCTAATTTAGGCTAGGCATAACACCAGCATCTATTGAACACATTTGCTAAAAATACTTTCTGGGTCGGATGTACTTAGAATGCAGCCTTAGGAACATCCACTGTGACCAGTGTGGAGGTTATCATTTTTTAAGAACTTTAGTAAAATTCCAGAATCCTACAAATTAGGTTTTATCAATTTAGGCACAGGTGCCACCTTTTTAATGTATAAAGTGAGACAGTAATAAAAAATGTGATAGTAATAGAAACTTTCAGTTTTTAAGAAAACTTAATTGTGAACTCTATTGACTCTTAAGTACTCTGGTTTGTATACTTTGAGATGTTTTATCTATTGCACATACAGTTGTAAAATGATGTATAGTTTGTATTGTTATTCATTTAGTATTTATGTCTTTTTCTCAACTTCGAAAGAGATCAGTGGCTACATTTTTTGAGTAAATTTTCTTTAAGGAACAAAATAGGAGTTAGGGAACTTAAAGGGGACACTTATTGCGAGTACTTCTTTCCTCCTCTGAGAGTTTGGTTGTTTAAAAAGCAAGAAATCTTTTTGTAGTTGTCAGGTTTTCGTTTTCTTTTTTTTTCTTCTTTCTCTCTCTCTCTCTCTCTCTCTTTCTCTCTTTCTTTTTTTTTGAGATAGCTTTGGCTGTTTTGGAATTCTCTTTGTAGAGTAGGCTGGCGTTGAACTCAGAGATCCACCTGCCTCTGCCTCCCTAGTGCTGGGATTAAAGGTATGCACCACTACTCTGCAAAAAGCAAGAAATCTTACTTAAGAGTAGGCAGATGCTTGGTAGATGTTTAAGGGCAAATGGTTTAAAGGACTCTTTGAATTCTTCATATTAGGAATACAAAATTGATGAACTTGTTAAGAATGCAAGTCTATGTGACTCAATGTAGCCAAATAGTTGCTCATAAATGAAATTTGCTTATGGATAGAAATGTACTGGTTTACTAGTGAGCTGAATTTTGTTATTTTTCTGGATTATATATTTTACAAAGTTTTAAAAGTGATACAGTTCAGAGATGTCAAATTTACTGAGTCAGCTGAAGTACTGTGAAGTCTTAAAGATTGATTTAGCTTCTGGAAGTTGGGTTTTGGGGTGGGGTGGGGAGGGTACTTAAAGTACTGTAGAGGAACATATTGTTACATTTTCATGTAATGTTCAATCAGAAAAGATAATGAGAAGTAATATAATGAAGAAGTAATATAGACTATTCTTTACCAGCACTGAAGAACAGTTGTCTAGAAACTGTACAATTTATTCTATATCATTTGAATGAGAACTCAGAATAGTCATATGGAATATAAGGGATATTTATTATGTTCACAATCACCTTTTATTTCATTATTCCCAAATAGAAACATTGGAAGAGAGGTTACAAGTATTTGAAGAAATTGGTAAGAATGGAATAGGCTACCTTCAGAGGAAGGCGTTAATTTGGGAGGCTCACTTATTTGTATCTTCTAACAGGATGTTCTGTAAAGTAGTAGAAAGAAGAGTACTCTGAGGGGAAGGATGTTAGTATTTATTATCTGTTAAATTCTAGGCAGTGTACATATGAAAATAGTGTACTTTGTGAGGTGTGTGTTATGTCTGTCTTGTGTTATCTGTTCCCCTCCAAGTGGAATTTAAACCATACCTGACTTTACAGCTTAATCTTTAGAGCAGTGCAGTCCAATTAAATTTTCTGTAGTGATGAAAATACTTTCCCCTTTCCCAGATTTATTGCAGTATAATTGACAAATATGAGGGAATGGTTTTTCCCCTATGCTGTTAGATATGGTAGCCATTAACTATGTATAGGTTATAGAACACTTGGAAGTATGACTCTGATATATGTGAGAAACTGAGTTTGAAGTTGCATTTAGTTTTAATCATTTCAAATTTCTAGTTAAATGTGGTTGCTGGTTATGTAATCTTGAGTAGCACAGTTTTTAGAGGTCTGACATTCAGTCTTCCACAGGTTTAGTCATGACATCAAGGCTAATGACTTACTTCTTGAGCTTCAGTTTAACCTGTTGAGAAATGAAGGGATTACCACTGAAAGATTGTTTCCAAGACCCCATCTTGCTTTAAAGTTCAGTAACTTCTTACAATGTACAATGACCTTTAATATTCACAAGCATTATTTCTGAAGGGGTTCTCACTCTCCATTGTGTTCATCATTCACAAAAAGGAATTTATTTATGAGAAGTATATAAAGTGTACCCAGAGGATAAGGGATTATTTTCTGCATGTATTTCCATACACAGTTGTTTGGTGAAAGCAGTGTGTGACCCAAAGCAGTACTTTATTTTTTATTTGTTCCAACACAGAGTCAAGGCGGTGCTAAATAAGTTCTCTGCCACTGAAGTACTTGTTGGAATAAAAAGGAATCTTTCTTCTTCTTCTTCTTCTTCTTTTTTTTTTTTTTTTTTTTTTTTTGGTTTTTCGAGACAGGGTTTCTCTGTATTGTTTTGGAGCCTGTCATGGAACTCACTTGGTAGACTGGTCTCGAACTCACAGAGATCCGCCTGCCTCTGCCTCCCAAGTGCTGGGATTAAAGGCGTGCACCACCAATGCCCGGAAAAAAACGGAATCTTTAGAGATCCCATTTTCTTTTTTTAATATTAGAATTTTAAAAACTAGAATTGCTGAACATGGCACCAGACTTCTGAAGCAACAGGAAAGAAGCAATCCTTGCCACCTTCCTCTGTAAGATACATAGCAGTTCTTGGTACTTATCAACGTAATTCTTAACCCGTTTGCTGGAGCTACAAGGCTTTTCTCCCAGTTTGATCTTGCTATTCTTGCTTAAAACAACAACAACATTGTGGTTCCCTTTACCCCTGTCTGCTCAGTTTATACATTCTTGACTTTTCAGTCCATATACCTGCTCTTAAGTCTTCCTCAGAACTCACTTTTTTGTTAGAAGACTACTGATTAATAAAGTCATAATAATATGGGTTTTAGAACTAGCAGTAAATGACTCAGGGTTAATGAATATTGTTTAGATATAGCTTTGTATATTCTTAAATTAATTTAAAAAGTTTTT